ATTATTGCCAGCAATTTTGAGGCCTCATTTTTTTGAAAACATTCAATATTTACGCATTTCCCTAATTTATAAACACATGTCCTTCGAAAGTTTAAATAAATGACCACTGTTAGGTGATTTCAGTCCTTGTTGTCTAAAGAACAAAATTTACAAAAATATCTATTTATAGAATGATGCAACATTCAAATTATTACATCATCATATGACGTCAATTCACTGAAACCCATTTCAGATCCACAAGCACTGAAATCACTTGACACAGCAACAAAGTTTCAAGCCAGATTTTATATTTAACATTAAATATATAAAGTACATTTTCATATGCCTATATAATTATCAAGTTGTATTTTTTACTATATACTAGTGTAGAAGCTTTAAATGAAATTATTTTGCCATCATTTTAAATTTGAATAAAATTAAATTATTACAAATAGGAAAATCTGACCCACAATATGACTGAGAATATGTGAACTTAAATTTCATTTACCTCTTCTTAATGAATTTTAAATGGAAGTAAAAAATAAAATATGAACACTTAATATAAGTATTACTACAGTTATTTATAAAGACTTGTATAAAGTTTATAATGAAAGCATATCAATTTAATTCTAAAACTCAATTTCAAAATTTTATTCCCGACATTGTGGCAAATTTTCGCTATACTATGAACCATATCTTTCGTTCAAAATGACTGAACTCCTTCATGAGGTCTTTCTCAATTTATACACCACAAGTAAACACTACTTTCATTTCTTTCATACATGATTCAATGACTGAACACATTATCCAAGAAAAAAACTCATTATCCTTAAAATGGACGGAACACAACATAATGTATGGAGAATTTGTCTTCTGAGGATTACTCACCTTGGCAATAATAAAAAACTTACTTCCTTGACTAATAATACAGAATGAATGAATAACAGATTTTATAAAAAAGATACCAGTTTCTCTAGAATACTTGCTGTCATCTTTTTGTCTTATGTAATATAATTGTATACACAACATAAACTATAAATGAGCCGCGTCACGACAAAACCAACATAATGGGTTTGCGACCAGCATGGATCCAGACCAGCCTGCGCATCCACGCAGTCTGATCAGGATTCATGCTGTTCGCTGTCAGTTTCTCCACTTGTTATAGGGTTTGTAAGCGAACAGCATGGATCCTGATCAGACTGCGCGGATGCGCAGGCTGGTCTGGATCCATGCTGGTCGCAAACGCACTATGTTGGTTTTGTCGTGACGCGGCTCAAATATTTTTTCAGTCTTAAAGCAACATGTCTCCAGTTCTGTACTAACTTATACGTGAACTTGATAATTTCTTCTTCTTATGATTAAAAATAATATTAATTGTTAAAACTATGTGGCTTAACCTTGCCAAAGTCACTTTCTATCCACATATAATAAAATTATTACACATAGCTGTTAAATTATGCAGAAATATCATATATTCCGATAGTAGCAGGAGTAAATATTTTGCAGATAAATATTTTAAATTCTGTAATATTCAACATAAAACATTTAAGTTTCAACCAAATTAAGAAAATTCATGTATTTTTTAATTTTTAAATCATAAAAACAATTTTCTAAAGATTATTTTCTGCAGATTTATTTTACACATCTGGAGGCAGGCTGCTATAAAACAAAAAACATCTCATTTGCAGTTCATACTTGGAATACAAATTTGAGGGTACTTTTAAAACTTACTTATAAATCTTTTATCCACTGAACAGAGTAACATGGCAACACAAAATATGAAATTGATAATCTTAACACATACTATACATCAAGACAACCAGATATCTACTTGTAACATAATAACAATGTTTATTTGACATGCTTACATACTTTTCTCAAATCTTTCAAAATAAAAACATGCCAATGAAAAAATTATTTCAAAATGCTATTTACAATGTATCACTCATTAGATCCTAATTGGTATTTATAACTTAATGAAAAACGCATTGCATAAATTAGTAGGTAGCACTTTTCAGTCTTGAAAATATTAACAAAAAGCTGGTTTTAATCATGTCTGTTATTTATTTGTAATCATCGAAAATAAGTTATAGTCAGTAAGAAGTAAAAACGGAAGCATTATTAGTATTTGGCATGAATGAGTTATTATGTACCTGTATTTCGGCCAGTGGCTAAATACTTAGAACTTAAGGTGTGTCTGGCAGTACAACCTACCCTATCAAAATTAATAAATCTGCACAGTTAGGTCAGAAACAAAACTGACTGTAGTTTTACTTCTGTCTATGTCGGCAAATAAACGCTTATGAAATTATCCCTTAATGCAAGACTCTATGCATGACTCTGAGACACAATCATATTACACTTGCAGTTTGTTTTTATTCTAACAAAGATGGACTTGAAAATGGTAAAACTTTGCCACTAATATAGAGTGAAATAGGCACGCACAATCTGTCCACTCAAGACTTGACTCAATACCGTTGGCCCTTTTTTTTTTAAAGTTTATCTTTGGTATCCCTGAAATATTCAACTCCAAAAATATAAAATAAAACGTCAATCAATTATGCATTGATAATGTTTTGGATGTTTAAAGCTATTTGATGAAGGTATCAAACCCTTCACCTTATCAGCCTTTGCCACCACTTTAGAGTCACACCAGCCTGTACATCCGTGCAGTCTGACCAGGCTCTATACTGTTTTGCAAATTCAAAACAGTGCAAAGCCATTAAATTTTTTTAGCATGTTCATGGTTAAGTCTATAAAATTTATCCCTCTGTTGTTAATTAATACATTATGTAATTATAATAAGTTGATACATGATATATTTTGTATGAAAAAAATACTCTAATCTCTAAAAACAACAGCTATATTAATTAATATGCGCATAATATTAATATAAATAAAACGAGCAATTGTGAATTTGCATATTAAATACGTCTATTGAACACATCTTGTTAGTTTTTTGTTAAGTTTTAACTCTGAACACAATTATTTTGGAGAGAAAAAAAAATCTACCTTTTCCTTCTTCCAACGATTAAAAAACCATTCTATAACATGGTTTACAGCAATGCAATAAGTTTAATCATGGTTTTATATATAAAAAAGAAAAAACATAGGTACATAAAAAAATACTTCGTTATCAAGTGTCTAGCACAGACACAGAAGAAAAAAACAAAACAACAAAAATTGTTTGACAATAAATATACAAAAAAGCAAAATTTGTATTCATTTTCAAATAAATAAACAAAATCATGCTCCACATGGTTTTATACATTCTAAAACCCAGGACATAATATCAGGCATTTCCTAAACATATATACTTTAATACAAAACAAAATTTGGAAAACTGTTACATAAAAAAGTATTATGTCAAAAACAACTTAACTTTTTCCTGGTACATATACATTTTTATTATATAATCTATAAATAGCTTTGAAATGCCTTTCCCTGATTGGCTAACAAGCAACTTTTTGTAAAAAATAACAGGTAAATATCAGAGTATATTCACTGTTTTTTTCCTAAAAATAGATTTTCAGAGTATATTCACCGGTTATTCTTCTAAAAATAGATTTTCTGGAAATCCCTAAAAGACACGAGACTTTGACATGACGTAACGCCAAGTTTGTTGTTATTATTCTGAAAAAAATGTTGAGTTGGGTGTACATCAGAGTCAAATTAGTCTATTTTAGTTACCGTTTTTCATTTTTAAGAAAAATAGGGATTAGCATGCCAATGGAAAGGGCCAAATTATTGAAACAGTAGACAAGCTGAAAAATAATGATTTCCGTCATATGCAATGGCAGATTTGATAAGCCATATAAAAGCTATTTATAAATTATATAATAAAACAGATATGTACTTTTTAGCTGTTGAATATGATTTCGCCTCGGTCAATATTAATTTTTTCAGTACATATCACATCATATTCAACAGCTAAAAAGTCCATATTTGTATAATATTTTCTTGTCCTGTATTTATATATATATACATCAAATGACCTTTGACACAAATATAATTACTTACATTATATCTGAAAGTCGAAATTCTCATGAAACTTTTCATAAATATTGTTAACTAAACATTTATGCAAACAACAAGAGCTGTCAGTAGGACAGCATGCTTGACTTTCTTAGTGCTTGATAGTAAAACAAGAGCCTGGATAATGTAGAATTTCATGAAGTTCAAAAAGAACCATAATTCTATCAAAATTTATGTTTGAGTTATGGGCCTGTATCCATATGTTGACGACATTTGGTAATTTTCTTGGATTAAAAGTGCCCATAACAATATGTAAATTACTTTATTTGTTCACCCACAATATTTTACTTTTAAATACATTTCCAAAATTTTTATGAAAATTATCATGAATCTGGAGGTGTGCTGTTTTAAAGCTTTGAAGTTTACAAGTTTCAATGGCATTTTTGTGTGTCTTTATCATTCAACATAATGATTGGGAAAACCAATAGTATAAATTTGTTCAATTTTGTTTCAGCTGTTATTTGTCTATTCAACACGTCAAACACTACTATACATTTCTTCACAGATTACCCTCTGTATAATACATGCCTTATTCTAAAATGTCTTAAATTTCACATCTTAAAATACATGTAAACACCGTAAACATACCATATAAAAGCCCAGCAGTTATGTTTAATAGAAACATTCTTAGAAGTATCCTATGACTATCTTGCAAATCTTAACAAAAAATACACAAAATATCATTAGATATTTAGGGCAATCATTTAAAAGGTTATCCAATTTAAAACTCTTTAAAAGATATATATATATTCACATCGTTACTTTAGTGCAGTCATGGATTGACTCCTATTTAATTACATTATGAGTTAAACCATTACTGCACTAAGGTGATGACACATATATTTTCTTGTATTGCAAGTGAAGAATTGAAATTCCTCTCTCAAACAACTAGAAAAACAAAATATTAATAAAGACCTGTCCAAAAGAAATGACATACATATGTCAAAATACATGATTAGAGTTATGTACTCTTTAACTAATAACAGAGTAAAAATCTATCACCTCTAAATGAGTGTCAAGTCTTGTTTCCCTTCAAATTCTTCTAAAAAGCAGTAAGTTTACTACATGGCAAGGGGTGTTTGTTCCCCTGTAGTACAAATTAATATTATACACTGTTTGTCTACCCAGTCAAGTTCTTGTTCCAACATCTCCTAGGCATAGAGCGAAGAAAAATTCAGAGTCCTCATATTTTAGAAATAAGAGCTTGGGAATAACATATCTTATAATATATAATAAAATATATACATAATAAGAACATTGAAAAAAATCTCACATCGATAACACAAAAATACGTAAAAAACTTTTTCACGACTCCTCCATTTTCGCTACTTTCGCGGACGACTCCTTTAGATGTTTCTCTTCGGCTATTGAAATTGTATGCTTGAATGTGTAGCGTGTGACCTCGTAATAACCTGGGTTATAAGTACTATTTTGTGATATTGAGTTCTGAGATGCAATGCTAATGGTTGAAGTACTTGAGGCACTTTTTTGTAGTTCCTGGCTGTCGACAGGGATTGCAGTATAACCTTGGTTACGAAGATCTAACAAAGATTTCCAAATCTTATTCCGGTGAGCACTGCCGATTTTCATCTTAGCCAAGTCCTGAAATATGGTGAAACATACTTGTATAAGATATGATTCTATCGTATATGCAATGTGTGTATCTATTATAATGAATAAACCAGACAAGTGCAATAATTAACCAGACAGGTGCAATACTAAACCAGAGAAGTGCAATACTCTATCATACATGTATAAAGGTGAAATGGAGAATATGAACTTGAAAATCATTGAGATACCATAAAAATATTTATATTTCAAGTTAAGGTCAATCATTTACTGAAGCCGTCAACAAGACACCAGGAACTCAACGGGAATGATAGTCCGTAAGGGACTAATAAATAAAGTTTCCCATACACCACAAGATATTACTGTCACCCCAACCCCCATTCTCAAGACAAATTCCAAGCCAATTCATTCATAAAAGGTGTGCAGGAATGTCATCATTTAAAGCACACTACTTGTCTTACATCTGGGAGGGGGTGTAAGACAGGTTTTTCTAGCACCGGTGTAAATGGTAGATAATCCTGTCTGATATGCGAGAATCCACAATCTGTACTAACTAAATAAGGAACAGTGAAGATCATGATCAGACGGCACATAATGTGCTGGATCATCTTTGGTCTGAACTGATCACATGGGTATAATATGGTTGTCGCCAAGGGTTAATGGGACTTTGTAATAATAACCGCAAATGAATATTTCTTTAGTATTTGCATTATACTTATTTTTATGTAATTTACACAAAAAAAACTGCAGTTAAAAAGCTTGACTGAACATCAGAAAACGGTAAACGATCTACCATCGTGACTCACATTTTTTGTTTTTCATACTGACATCTTAAAAACAAAGGAAGTACTTACGTCCAACGAGAAATCGTCTAACTGTAGTAAATTGTAGAGGTTTTGCTCATGGAAACCATCAATGTACGCACCAAGACCGAGAATATTCAACCATCTGAAAAGGACAACAACAACAACATTATTCATAATCATTTTATTTGCAATCCTACTGGTTTCCATTAAATGTATTGTATATAATATTTTATTATATACTTATAAATGAAATATTGAGAAATATCAATTAAATAAAATGTGTATTTTCATTTTCCGTATTTTCACTGTAAAAATTTATTTTTCACTGCAGTGAAACATATTTTCCGTACTTTCACTGGTGTCTTGCCGGACTACTTTCTATTAAATTCTGCCAATACGCAAAATTTAAGGGAAATTCTTTCAAATTTTAACGTCAAAAAAGAAAAATGTATATAATAAACAGAAAATTCAAGTTTTTTCTACAAATACATGATTTATTTCATCTTGTAGCATGAAAATTATCATATTTCACTTGTGGCTACCGCCACTCATGAAATATTTATTTTCATACCACTTGATGAAAATAAATCATGTATTTATAGAAAATACTTGAATATCCTCTATGTATATAAATATAAGTTAAAATACCTTTACCAAATACTGAACTGATTTTGCATTAATGAAGAAAGAAAAGAGAAAACCTAGTTTAAACACACAATGAAGGCCATTTAAAATTTAAAACTTAAAAAACAATATTGCATAGATGATGTAACATTATTTTTTTCATTAAATATCAAGTGCTCAGATATCTAGAGCTTTTTCATTCACTTACGGTAAAACTTACATTAACTATCTGCCTCTTAGTGACCGTTACCACTCTAAATATCTTAAATGAACTTGTCCATCTTTCAATTTGGACAATACCATTAATCATTATTAGGGAAAATTTCAAAAATAAGTACTGTCTGAATAGCAAACAGTGCAGACCATGATCAGACGGCAATGATGTACTGACTGACCTTGTTCTGCACTGGTCGCACGAGTATAATCTATCGCAACCAGCAGATATATGAGTTAAGGTATGAACAACCAATAGAAACAAGTAATAATTACAAATTTCTCTCAAGGTTTTGATGATTGTTGCCATTTTCTATCACTCCTTGTCATAAAAAAGGATATGGTGAACCTCTGAAGAATCAGTCAAATTACTGTTTTTTAGTTTTCTTTTGATTTTGTAATATCAGTGACATTATTTATGATAAAAAATCTTCAAAATTCAAGAAAACATGCTTATTAGAGATAATTTTCAAGAAACACAGATAGTACAAAATATTAAGAGTAAAACTGATAAAAACTTACGTTGCAATGGTGTTATCACTTTCCCCATTTTGTGACACTGTCTCTTCTTTGATAGCCTGAGGAATACCGTTGTGGTGACCGTCGGTTACAATGTCCGACGTTGTCGCTTCTTGTGAACCGAATGACTGCGTCATTTGTCGTGTCTCGGCAGTAGTCAGAGTTGTATGTTGTTGTTGAACGACCGACGTGGACGCAACCTGGGATGAAGGAATAGCCATAACTCTTGCCGTTTGCCTGTAAAACGAAAAAGAAAATTTCAATTCTAAACTGAACGTGAATAATTTCATTACGATTTCATCAAAATAGCGTAAAAAAGAAAAAATACAAATATACGTTTCACTTATAATTTTCACTATAACTTCTTATTTGTCCAAGTAATCTAAGTATCTTCTTTACTTCAAGTATGTATTTCTAATAATCAAATTTTCTGATAAAATTGATACTTCAAAAGGGTGAGCTAATTTTTGTGTGACATATCTTTTAAACTGAAGCAAGCACAGTTTTAACTTTTATACTTCAAGTTCTTTTAGAATTCATAAATCATGATGTATGCATTTAATGATGCAAAAATTATAAAGAAAAACAAAACACTTTAAAATGAAACAATTCCTATATAATATGCATATGGACTTCCTTATCCAGACTCCCTTCATTTCTTAATGTCTTTCACCTTCTTTCTTCCAATTGCAATGATTTTCTTCCCTTTTGGATAATAGTCTGAAGTTTTCTTTTCCTTTGGGTTGATAAGCGTTCAAAGATTCCTTCCTTTGGGTTGATAACATTTAACTATTTTTTCATTTGGGTTGAGTAGTCTTCGAAGTTCCCTTTCTTTGGATTGATAAAATTTGAAGATTCCTTCCTTTGGGTCGATAACTTTTAACTTTTTTTTCATGAGTCTAAAAGCGTTCTTTCTTTCGGTTGATGAAGTTTCAAGATTCATTCCTTAGAGTTGATAAAGTTTGACGTTGTTTTCATTTAATTTGGGTTGATACATTATGGTGATTCCTTCTTTGAGTTGATTAGCTTTTGAAGATTTCACTTGCATTTGTCTTTTCTTCAAATCAATCACTCATAAGTACTGAAAATTTGTTGTCTCTGTTAACCATTTTATACGATAATTTCATGATTCATCTTTTAAACAACTTTCCTTCATATAGGTGATACCGATATTCATTTGTTGACAGTACACAACAAGATGTAGGTGATTCTTTTACACACGTCAACATCTTTGTCCAACGTTAGAAACATTACTTAAGATAATGGCTCAAGAATTTTTTTTATCCCTCGACACCTTTACGAATTATATATTGCGGCAATTTAATTACAGAAACTGTTTGCATACTTTAATCTCTTTGCAAATTGACACTTATGTTCTAACAGCTTGGTACAGCAAAATCATTATTATTTGTGGGGCACTTATTTTTGTTAAAAATTCAATCAACAAATTTAAGATCCAACAAAACTTCATTTAGTCTGCTGTAAGATTATTTTGCTTTACATTATTTTACTTTTTGGAAAAATAAACAGTTCACGAATTTAAGTACCCATGAAAACGTTCTTTCTGACAATACCACAAAATTTTATGTTCACGAAAAAAGTGAAATTTGAATACCAAACCTATAAAGTATATTTTTAGCTTTATTGACATTGAACAGAATTCGAGTGCCCTAGTAATTCTGAATTTAAGTCTTGTATGGAAATCAAGTCAATTTTGAACGCAATTTTGACGGTCAGCAAACTTAACAACACAGGTATCAAGCCTGACCCTACCAATGGTACAAGACAAAAGCCTTTTTCTAAAATTGCATCAACTTATTCTATATTTTTCCTTTACTATAATCCCAAGTGCATAGTCATATAATATCGCATGGTATGGAGTAAAGACATTTTTATTTACTTTAACTCAGATCTTGGGACTTTTGCAATTATATTAACAAACAACTCTACTCCATCCATACAATATTATACAACTATAGGTTTGAAATCAAACTCTTATGTATTAAGCCTTTAAAATATATACCCTGATTTCAAAATGTCCCGGGGGTTGACTTATCTCTTTAGAAAGTGTAACCCTTACTTTGTTGAAATGTAAAATTTTATAAAAACCTTTGCCGAGATTATCATTATAACTGTAGTATACAGAACTGACTCAGTGGTGTAAGCCTGGGCATTGATCAAGAGCAGTTGGTTTTCAGAATGGCCATGAATTCAGAAATGTGATATTTACTATAAATATTTCTTAAAGGTTCCTGTGCTCAGTACACTAAGAGAGTTTTAGTCATCAAGATATTTGGAAATACCGAAATTATTCTAGTTTCGAGTATCCCTGGTTACGACAAGATTGAATTTACAATTGTTCAAAGTGCTGTAAGGTCAGGATATGCCTGTATTAGGATACGACTGTATTTACCATGGGAAGTAATTGTTTTTTACAAAGCCATGTAACTGTGTCACTTAGAGGTACACATACTTTAGTGTGTGTTGGGGGGGGGCAATTTTTTACATTTAACACGGGGTGTAATAAACACAACATAATAATTTAAATTTTTACAAATTTTTATATTTTCTCTTGCATATTTATAATATAAATACAGAACTTTACAAACAACCTCTTTCTTCATCATATATCAAATAATATACAATATTAAATAAATAATCATATGTACACAAAAACAAACAATCAAGATTCAAAATTCATCATTTGCACTCGAAACAGCTATGCATTATTCAGTTGTTTCGGCAGATATTTCCTATTCAAAAGCTGGCAGTATGGTTACAATATTTAAATGCAAGCTTGGCATAAAATGATGATGAGTTTTATGCTCTGTTGATTCACAAATGAGACAAATGAAATGGAATAAAAAAAAAGAAGATTTCAAATGTCTGAAATCTTTGAGTTTTCCTATTCAGTATTTAGTTCCAAATATCTTTTAAAAAGAAGTGAGATGAATTCTATCCAAATTCAAATAAAATATCATTGTGTATAAAAGTGAGGTATTTATTTTTTAAAAAGATATTTACAATATTATAAAAGAAAAAAAAAAAATATATATACACAAATATAGCACTAAGAAGCATTATCTATGCTCCCATAAATAAGAAAATTAAAAATTTACAAATCAGTAAGATTTACGTCCCCTTAATGAATCTACTTGTTTGAAACTTCTAAAAACACTTAAAAAGTCATGGACGGCAAAACTGTGACTAAAAACAAAAGGAGAAACTGTTATATAACAATAAAACAGCAATAAATGAGATTTAAAATACAGATCAAAACAGTAAACTGAGTGCATAAAAAAAAGAAAAAAATTTTTTTTATAAGACCGACAACTTTTAATGAGTTACGAATATTAATGAAGTCTGATGAACAATGGTTCATGAATATTAATGAGGGTCTGTATGAAATGATAATGACATTGTTTTATGATCGTATCAATGCGCAAAATATTTGATGCCTGTCATATGAACACAACAAAGTTTTAGCTGCAAATCACACAGAATTGTCTGTAGGTTTTTTTGGCTCATATTCGATCTTTATTCATTAAAATAATGTGGGTATTCACATCATTATTTTTTCACAACGAATGTCTTGTGATGTTATTTATTTTGGTGATGTCATAGCTAGTGTATACCACTTCCTGTGAGTTTACGTCACGGTTATATATCTGGGTACAGTTTTGGGAGTATGTTTTGAAGACGCCCTATTCTTTCCGACTACAGTAAAGTGAGTAGATCTTGAAGACTCATTTATTGTATAGTCCCCATAATTTTCTGAGTTTGTTTGGTTACTTAAAAGGTTGTCTTATAACTTTGCCCGGCCGGTGTTTTTTCTTGATAAGTCTTGATTTGCCCTCTTTTGCCAAGACATTCGATAACCACCTGCAAGTAGACAGGTAAGAGTTACCTCTCCTGTTCTAACTAGCAAGAGTTGTCTAAGCTACCAAAACCACCCAAAAAAGTTATAAAAATTACCCCAAATTACACATTAAAACACCTTAATACCCCTAAAATTACCAGAACAATTAAAGGTTTTTGGCTGCATCAAAATTTGAGGAGATAATTTGCAAGAATTTTTCTCTTTTATTTATTTTTTTTTTCCATTGAATTTGTAATTAATCATGTCTTGGCAAATATAAGGTAAAACAAATCAAGAGCTTCAAGCACAGAACATGTTCTTACAGTTTGACTTTCTTTGTTACACAGCATTTTAACAATTCATCAATCAAGCAAACACCAAGTCTGGTGTTTACAATTTTATACATTTCAAATAAGTTTTATAAAAATTGCATCATTTCAGAAGATAAAAGCAGAGTCCAGATTATGCTTGCTTAAGAAAAGAAGTGTCACACAAAAATAGGTATAGAATACAATCAGGGGAGACAAATAGGGTGAAGCTCGCTAACAAGGGGAAGCAAATTATCTCCCCTCATATGAAGAAGCAACCTTTACATAAAATCAGGAATGTTTGCCATTTTTTTAACGTTTTAAGAAAATTAAAATCACAGACTCAAATACCAAAGACTAATAAATAAAATCACAGATATTTTGAAATAAATATCTCTTTATACAAGAAAAAGAAAATTTAAAATCAAGTATACTTTAAATAATATAATTTATCAATAAATTAATCATAAATAATTATCCATAAATATTCATTAACAGTTATCCCCCCTATAAAAGGTACAGGGGGAAGTAATAAATATACACAAGGAACAAACAAAACGACAGAATCACAAACACATTTCTATACAATTTGGACGGAACATGATAAATGGAGAATGCAATGGATTTTGCACCATTTTTTTTTAAAGAACACATCAAATATATTTTTGAACACAACGCTGATGTAATGAACACATCAATACAATTTCAGTCACATCAAGTGAATTTCAGCTTCATTTTTATACACATAGTTATACTATATAGTCCGTGGTCAAAAGGTAGGACTAAAATCTTCCTTTATTATCAGCTTAGCCGTAAAGGTAAAAATATTGCAACAGGGTTTTTATAGGTAGCAAACCCTGCGAGCCATTTTTATTTGGCTGCTTATGTTCTTTCACTACAGCAAAATATCTTGCGTATTTTTGGCAGGACATTCTGCGATTATAAAATGCACTTATGAATGCTTAAGAAAGAAGCAAAGGGAGACTACTGGAGGCATTTTTATACAATCCAGGGGAGAGTACTCACTGCCTCTGCACTTCCACCTGCTTTCTTTTGTACAGATCCATCTCGGTTTGAGGCAACAGGGAGGCGATCTCCAGACTATCCCTTATTTTGCATAACATTTTGTAATTTTCTAAGCCTCTGACCTGAAAAAGTCAAAAAAAAAAATTCATGAATTACAAAAATCTTTAAGAAATACTTTATTATTTAACAACTCTGCATTCACTTTTCAAAACAATTTTTAAACAATCATAATTATATATTCAAAAGAACACTTGATATCTGAAACACTATTTAGTAAGATTTTAATATGCAATAATCTTTTTCAAATCAAAACTTCCAATTTTTGTAACTATAGGAAATCAACTGACAAAAGTAAATTTTTCATAAAAATAGAAGATACTTACGGTCAATGTATAGGTATCGTTGTCCCCTTCGAGCTTTCTCTTCTTTCCAGCGGTTACGGTAGTGATTTCAGTACCAATAGTTAGACGTGGAAGAGCACCATCTAGAGAAAAGAAAGGAAACAAAACTGTTAGAATTGGTTTAAATATGTAAAATAAATATAAAAATCAAATATAACAGAAAATATTTTGTCATATAAATAATTAGATTGAATTTGTATGAAATAATAATTGAAGCCTTGGGAAAACCAGGAAAAAGTTTAATGACATAGGGGAAAACGTCTGCTATATTAATGATTATAATTATACCGGTATTAATGTAAAATGTGTAAACTTACTTTTCTTGGGCTGAGGAGATGGTGGTAACAGCCCTTTTTCATCCCCCTTCCTATCACGTCCAGGGCACGCACATATTCGGACTTCCACACATCTTCGCCCGAGGACTTGGTTGCTAAAAAGACAAACAAATTTTTTTTAAGATAGAGTCCAAATACTTTCATTTAAACATAATCTAACATTATCATCCTTTCAAACACTGCATCACAAAATTTTAATACATTTATAGGTAAAAAGTTAAAATCTGATATTTTTATATAAAACACGAAAAAGCATGTCAAAGACACAAAATCTACTTTTTTTTCTTTTTTTTTAAATAAATAGATACTTACTCTTTCTCAAGTGTGAACACAATCTGTAAAGGACGTCTGTTAGGTCCGCCCACACATGAACCCAAACACATGAACTGAAATAAGTTGGTGACCCATTCGGAGCCGGCCTGTGGGGTTTCCTGTGGAATGATGACACTCTGGCGACTTGTGTATGGGTCTTCTACGTACTTGGCTAGTTTATGCTCGCATCTTACGAGGTGATTGGGTGCTGGATGATCTAAAAATAAATATTACAATAAAAAATTAGACAACATCAAATTTATATCAACTATAATAATAATAAAAAAAAATTCACTTTAATTTACATTAGCAATCTTAATAACAAGTTGAGTAAAAATTCTCAGAATGAAAAAGATTGTCCTCTTTAATTATTTTTAAATTACTAATTGGTTGTAAAATTTTGATGGGAATTATACTTACTTTCGTTGAACTCTTTTGATGTGGCGTGGTTAGGGCACCGTTTCACAGCTTCCTGTACATGTTCTGGTTTCATGAAAATGGGCATGGATCTGATGATGCAACCTGGTGGTGGTGGTCGATTGGTCTTGAACCTAACGGGGCAGGTTGTGGCCATTCTAACGTACAACTTCTTCAACATATCGGAATACGTCCATGTGGTAGACTTGGTCTCTTTTGATGGTGTAGCGAATGAAATTTCAAACCCATAATCGCCTGGGTAATTTGTGCTATAAAAAAAACGAGAACAGACATTGCTATTAATTTTATGGAAGATCAAAAAAGATTTTATTGCCGTCGCGGAACAGACTTTTAAGTGCACTTTAAATATTTTGTTTTCATTTAATGATAGACAAACAGTGATTTCTACCTTTGTAATGAACAAGAAGGGGAAAAAAACCTCCGCATTTTCATTATACTTGGTTCGTTAACAATATTCTGGTAAAATGCTGACCAGGACAGAAATCAGCTAAAAATAACTTTCTTATTTTTATTTTTTTTTTAATTACAGAAGAGAACAAATTGTCTGTCATGTGAAAAGTAGGTTGACCTATTTCACTTGAAATTTAATCAGCCAATATTTTAAAGCCCCGTTATCTGTCAGAATTTACATAGTTTATTGATTAATCTTGTCCTATCTGTAAAGATTTGGATATTTACATATGTACACTTGAAAACCTAAACCCATGCTATTTTAAAGTCCTTGACGACTTTAACCTTTGGCGATTTACCGAAGATTCATCTTCACTCTAGTTTGCTCATGTCTAAAGTTTTTTTTTTTAAATATACATTTTGTTTGGTAAAGTCAAGATAACCCGTTATTTTTTTTCACTCCCTCAGAAATTAGCTTCCCATATTAAACCCTTGCCTTTTAATCAGAATGAAATCTCCTAATTCCAACTTTTCCACCTGATTTACCTTCGTACCTTTAATGAGATTATTACTCAAATTCTATACTTGTCATTTGACTTGTATAATTATATCATGATCATTCAATTCAGCCAAGATCTTTTTTCTCTCTCTCTCTTTCACTCCCTGATTGCTCCAAACCAAGCTATTGATTTCAAAATCAATATTCTGGCAATTATCCAAGTGTGGATTTCATTAACAACGTATAAGCCACGAGTCGATTCAACACAGAAGAAATACCTTGGCGCTAATGAATACTGCCACATTTCAGGTAGAAATGTATGCCAAGCAGTTGAAAAATTAGCGTGTATTAAGTGTATCATTGAATATTTAAGACTTGTATGTAGGAACTATTTAACGATTTAGTCATATACTGAATGACTAACAAAAGACTAAAATACTTACTTTGAAGGTACTGTTGGAACTGGGGATGTCATGTTTGTGTGTGGTGAATATGGAGGTGGGCTTGTCAATGTCTGAAAATAGTAAAATAATAAATAAATAAATAAAAATATTTATCTCAGCTCTTGTTGCACTGGTTCATATTTTTTTATTTCAAGAACAGAACACAAATTACTTAATGGAATTGATGAATTGGAAAAGCATGTCAGTCTAATAAAAAACAGTATAAAAATCTCTTTTCTTAATTAATCTGATATTGGAAAATGCTACATTTTCATTAATTAGGGTCAGCGTAAGATTCCGTCTTCTGAAAAACGTTTCTCAATTCATCACTTTTCGTATCAATTTCTTCCCCAGGACTGCATGACAATTTACTAATTATAAAATCAAGGTGAGGGGAAAAACACTGGAACCGATGGTCTTCTTATCACAATAATTGTCTTTTCATCAGCTTATCGGTGCGGTGCGATTGAAGCACCGCGATTTACTATCACTGATTGACAAGAACTTAGCACGGAATAATTGTTCCATGAATCATTGATGAGATAAAACCTTTGACTTGAGAAAATAACCAACTGCTGGGTATCATGCAATGAAAATCTATCTACTTAGATATTCTTAACAAAATTGTCTTACATATTAAAATGCTATACAAATTGAGTAACTTTTTTTTTTAAATTGTAAAATAGCCGAGAAACAAAAAAAAGGTAACTTACCCCTTCATGGTATGGGCTGGATGCTGTTGAACCTATAATGTTGGTTTGTGAGTCTGGTGACATAGATGCCGATGATGTTTGTCCAATGATGGGATTCAACTGAAATATAGGAAAAGATAACTCATGTATTAAACAGAACAATTATCTCCCTTGATCAATTTTTTGTGTGTAAATGGATGGACTTTCTTTAAATATGATCATCACGTTTTTCTTGTATCTGTCAATGTTATCGGTACTTTCTAAGTTTTTCTTTGCCCACGTAACCCTTCAGGTTTGTTTTCCTCAGATAAATTATCACTTTACGCAAATGAAGGAAAGCTGTTGATAGTGATAAAACAGCCAATAAAACCCCAATAATCATGATCATTGTTTTATGCTCATCTTACATGCAATCTTTCGTTGTACAATTTGTCATAAACATAATTTTCTTACGAGATAATTGTGAAATTTCATGTTCAAATTGTCAAAAGAGAAGGAAAAAGCTGTTTGATGGATTTCTTAAACAAAAATCGAGGTTCATTCTTCAATATCAATAACAGTTCATTAACAATTTTAAAAGGGCCAGATGAAAACAATTTGAAAATGTGCTAAAATGTTTGTACAAACTGGCTGTCTGGCACTGTAAGAATTATTGGCATGAGCCAAACGTTTCCTAAATTACAATATTGACATTATTGGCGAAACAGTTGACTATTCGCAACTTTTCAACAAAAGTAGGTGAATATTTAATTGTCACATGATCGGCCTATGTGATAACAACATTTAACAAGACCCTCAAACCTATAACATGATGATCAATATGTGGTAATAGGTTTTCCAAACTTATGCTATATGTATTTTTCACAAATTTAATCTTTCATGACTTAGCCATGGTTATTTTGTATTATACTAAAGAATTCATCTTGCTGGCAATACACTTGACATTTTTATACTAATTTTCATAAAAAAATCTCAATGTAGCAAATTATTACATAAAAATGTCAGATTAAATATTAATTAAGCAAACTATTATGTAAAATCACCAGCTTTTAATCAATATAATGGTTTTAATTAACAGAACTAGAGTAAAGCTCTCAGTAATCTAGGCACTGATGCTAATCCCCAGTCCATGACAAGGTGTGCTGGCTTTACTTAAAGCTTTACTTATTCAAATAGGATTAAAGGCTTTTAAATCCCCTAACAGACTGTGTCAACATTTATGATTGCACAGTGTGTCTGCATAAACAATGCAATCTTTTTAATTATACCAGTCTTTCAATTACTGAACAAAACAAATAATAAATCAATTAATTTTTAGTTATTTTTAGTAAGTCCAAGACAAATAGGTACTCGGGTTTTAATTTATTTTAATTTTTTTTTTTAACCTGCTTGAAGATGTTTAAAATTACCACTGTTGTTCAAAGATATTTACTAGCATAATTAAAGAGGATAATTTTATGAGAAGATACCTTTAAACTTAAGCTGCCATTCATGCTGTTGGCACAAAACTGTTGAAATTTACAATCCATTTTTATATGAAATCTAGTAGTATTTTTTTTATGAATTTATGAAACACTTGTACATTACGACCTATAATAAAACACTGATATACTTACAACATTTTACTACAATGATATACATTACTATAGATAACAAAATGGACGGGTATTTATGGATGGCCACTTGAGTTTCGAACATAGATAAAAACACCTGAACAGGTACAATCTTGCCTACTAAAACACTGATGTCAACTTCTTTTACTATCTTTAAATGTCTTGATAAGTAAACAAAACTATTGTGTCATTAATTTTTTTGCAGATGCATCAAAATATTGCCTTACTTTCCATGTTGGCTTCAATAAAATATTTTTTGTTTTGCTTTATAATTAATTTTTTACAGTCAGCTAGAGGTTGCAAATTATTTTAACAAAACCCTGTGAGGATTTGATACCTATTTAAACGGTGTTAAATTGACCAGCGTGACCAGCGAACATAGTAACCGTAGGTGTGAATTACGAGCAGCCATGATCGCTATCCACCTGCCGTGCCCACGGGCCATGATTTCCAACAGATATCATTACGAGCTATACAAATTGCCAACAAATTGACGAGCCTTTCATTAGCGTATTAATAATTGATAAGACGCATTAGAAAAGTTGTGGAAAAGCACCACATCACAGAAATCCAGGCAATTTAAAAGTAAGCGGCTGAAAATGTCACTATTTCTCTGTGTGAATTACTAATCTCAAGTTATTGATTGCCGAGTTGACAATATTTGAATTCATCGATAAACTAATATACCATGTGACGTGCCTGGGAAAATTTCTGTATCCGAGTTAAAATTCTATTAAAAGATACAGTGGAAAGTTCATATGAAGTGTTTGTAACTGTATATTTTAACAGCTTTCACAATAAAACTTTTGTTTTTTAAAGAAGAATTGGCAAAAAAAGGAAAATATGCTTTCAAACTTAAAGACAAAATGTTTATGTAAATATTTCCTTTAAATTAATGTTCATTAAATATTTTTGGGGGATATGCTTATCAAATTTATTTTGAGAGACATAAATTCATACTGGATATTATCAAGTTAATTATTATGATTCATTTATAAAATTCCAAAAAATATTTTTCTGTCTGATAAACTAATTAATTTTGAATTTGTTTTATACATTATTTTTTACTAAGAATCAAAATTAGTTTTAAACCATCATATATTTTAATTTATTCTTAATTCTTTTTTTTATCATTTCTATTCTTGTTATCTCAACCTCAGAAACCCTGTGGTATAAAATCAACCAATGAAATTTGTTCTTACTTACCCTGTAGGTTGTAAATCCAGTCCTCTCAAACTTAATCATTTTTAGTATTTTTAAAATTATTTTTTCAAACTTAAAATATCACAGAAATTTTTATTAAATAATGTCAAATAAATATTACTACACAATATTTACAAACACAAAAAGTTTTCATATATATGTATGATATAAAACCTAGAACTAAATAGTAATGCTAAAATTGTCATAAAGATTTCAAGTCTAGTCTTGAACGATTCCAAAGCCGATCTAACAATTCTAGTTGTCAGGGACGTGATTAAACACGACTGGTGATCAATACATGTCCAATCACATCGAGGCATTCATTATCATAACGGGGGGTAGATAAGTAAAGGTATATATATATATACATATATCGGTCTAAAAGTTTTAAGCACGGCTTAACTGTTAAACCTTCCTCGAGTTTTATAAATACCTTCCTAATTTCATTGAAAAGGATTGTTTAATAGTCTTTGTGCACAACTGTGTATTGGAAAAAATATCAATTCATAATACCTGTATTGGACAATTTTTTTTATTGATTTAAACTCGATAAAAAGTTTTTATTTACTTGCGGGCAGGTATTGAGCGTCCCCCCAGGGTTGCTATGACGATAACGGAAAAGCCGTTCAAAGTTATAAATAGTTTAAACTTTGTCAATTGTCAAAACCGTTATAGCCATATCTGGGTCTCTTATAGGTAATATCAATAATCGGTTTTATTTCAAACGTCCATTGTTTGTTTCCTGGCTTTTAGACGGCCTGCCCGAGCGTAAAGTTAAACAAGTGTAATAGAGGGAAGGATTTCAATGCATTATAATCACCGGTATTGTGTACTTGTAACAGCAATAAAAAATTTCAAAGCAATGAAAAATAAATGAATACGATTGTAATAACTGAACCATGGACGGTCAAATCAATAATGTCCTCTTGTATGAAAAAATTTTGTGCAGCATTTTACTTTTTTCATTAACGAAAGAAGCTGTACTTTTTTACAATAGGTCTGTTTTTTAAGAAGTAAGGTTATCTTTTTGTTGTTTAGTTTATATTTTCAATTAAAAATTTTTTTAATCAATTAATTTTTTTCAGCAAATTTTATGTCTTCTTTACAGCATAATCTTTAATAATTAGTTCTTAATGCAGAGTTAATGTTTATGACAGATTGACAATGCAATGATGGCACATTTATTACACTATTATTTGTTTATAACTGTACCTTTGGTCATCGCAGTTAAACACTTAAGAGAGCTATCCCGTGTCAGACAAAATTGTTAAATTATCAGCGTTAAATTGATGTAAACAAATGGACATAGATGTCAATTTAGATCTCAAATTGATGTATACAATGCAGTTAATCTAACTGCAATTTAAACCTAACTGTGAAACCAAACATATCATCGTCCATCCAAACAAACCTAAATTGAACTTTCGGTGCAAAATTTTCTATAAAATAACTGTGAAATACACTTCCTTGTATGTAATTTCTACATTCTCCATTCAAATCGAAGAAAAAACCATAAACATTTAATAATTAAAATAAACTTACAAGGTCTGAGACTTCGTTGCTGTTGATTCTAAATTTGTCGATTTGGAGTGATGCCCCCTCGTCAGCATCCTCGTACGAGTAATCAAGATCCCGTGAGTTAATGTGTGTGAAATTACTGCAAAAAAGAAACCATAAAATTTTATCAACTTGCAATTTAAGACATAAATATGTACATATTCCAAAGGGAGACAAATCTAACCAAACTGTTAAAATTTAGTTCTAGGTCAGCAATAATTATTAACCAAAAGTTAACTCTCTTTAGATGTATTCCCTTTTTAAATTTTTTCCTGTATTTCTTAATATAGCCAAATAGGTCAAATGAATAATGTTACAAATGAGTAAATATTCATGAACTTCTAATAGGAGAAAAGGCTACAAACATACCCATTGTCTGTGACATTTTCAAGGGTGTTCCAAAGGTAATCAAATGTTTCCTGAGACATTGGTTCGTTTGGTGGAGTGGCTGTGACCTCTGCAGACATTTTCTGATAAGCTGGAAGCCCTATGCTACCAAACCTGTAATAAAAAATAAAATTTCAGTTTATTAACTCTGTTAATGAAACTCGCACTATGTATCAAATGTGAAATCCTACTTGGATGTTTGTACACAATAAAAATGTCCAGTACATTTTTTAATGTCTCTCAGATACCTCTACATATTGCATGCATGCCTGATGACAATTGAGCCAAAGATGTGAAATAAAGATAAAGAGGAAACAATAAACCCAACCAACAAAAATTACTCATGATACTGTGAAACCGTAGTCCAATAAATGCCTATCGTTGGATCAATACAAATTAATATTGCATTTATTCTAGAGGTAACAATTAGTCTAAATTAAATTATATTGGATATTGCTAACTAATGATTAAAGATTATTCAATCATCCAAAAACAATGCATGCTTAAAATGCCAAGTTTGTCTTTGTTTAAACACTCAGCTGTTGGCCCTTAGCTTAAAAGGGGGAAAAAATTATAACCTCTGAAGTAAACTATCGTATTCGTATGAAGGCAATGTAAGGTCAATGTCAGTGCTAATGTATAAAATAGATAAAATCAAACAAGGCCTATCAGAATTATGTAACAATGAAATTTGAGAAAAATTAGCAGATTACTTGTTGATTTCACTTTCAATGTTGATATACATCTGGCCACCTGAGGCTAGGAGATAACACACAGATTTAAACACTTATACTACACATTAAATATGCTGACAATAAAAACTAATGACCTATGATAAACCACCTACTGTATCAAAAATTAAAAAAAATAAACTCAAAACAATCCAGTCATTTGACTTTTGAAACAATCTATGAATAATAATAATAAGAATAATAATTCAAAATTTGAAGAAAAAAAATTCAATATTTCATTTTCAAAATAATCCAGTCACTTGACTATCTCTGAAATCATGATGTGATTTATTTTTGTAATTTGTCCTTAAGGTAATCCTCTCAACCACTCCATCAGCTTTCATAGAAAAATTTCCTCTCCACTTTTAAGAAGATAAATGAAGAGATGCACTTAATGTCATCCTGTCTTGTGTATGACTGTTACTAAATTAGAGACACAAACAATCAATAACCTAGAAAAGGTGGTTTGTTTTTATTTTGATCTGATTCTTGTTGATGAAGTGAATGTTAACATATTATTTAATGTTAAACCTTACTACAGAATTGTGTTATTGTCATAATTTGTCATAAAATGATTAATCTTTCACTACTACCTTAAATGCTTACAACAAAAAAATTAAAACTGTACAAAATACCAACAATACCCGACTATTTCAATGTTCTAATTAGCAATTAATTAATTCCCAATTAACTCAGAACTGTCACTCAGCATAATTGACAGATACCGCCAATATAAGCAATACACAAAGTCCGCCATCTTTGTTGGAAGTGCTCACTTTATGAATGAACAAACTATGTACAAAAACTCAGTAAATACTAATATATCCATCTTGTGCACACGCTAATATAAACTATAAATGTTAAACAACATATTCATAAAATATTTTTACTTGTGACAGCTGATATAGAACACAATCGGTGGTCATTTAGTTGACAGTACAGTTTCCTCAACACACGTGGTTTGTAAACAAAACGAATGTAAAGCGGAGTGATACAACACGCGCCAAAATCAACACCACTTTCTATTTTTAGATTTCCATTAATTTTCAGATAATCGATTAAAAACATACCCTTGTCCAATCCAAGGTCCAACGGGAATTCCACAAGTATCTGCTTCAACTTTAAGAACCATTTTTACCGATATAGTACAATTTTTGAATTCGAACTATCTTTAGCAGGTATATATACACTGTATTGAAAAGGATTAAACCGGCGGACCAATCAGAACGCAGAATTCTCTTCACACCTAATCGGTAAGAGGCGTTCACCTTTACCTGTGAAAAATTGGTAATTTCTTATCTTTGAAGGAGCCGATACTAATTATTTCACTTGTTGCCTTAATGATTATCTACTGATAATCAATTGAAAAGTATGCTTACTTTAAAGGCACCGTTTATGCGACTAGCTCACTAACATATCAAAATGTTTGATAGTTCTACTTTCAGTTTCACTTTGATTTGATTTGTAAATATTAAGTTTATATATTTCAATTTGACAAATATCGGTATTTAAATAATTGAACGATTGTAGCTTTTGGAAGAAATAAATAAAATTTTATTCCTGCGCAATAATAAAATCTTTAACCAAATGTAAATGAAGAAATTAAAGAATAAACATTTCTTACCATTTTTTGGAATCAATTGGTGATTTATGAACCATATTTAAAAACTTTTTATATCAAAAGAATATATTCAAACTAGAAGAATTTCTACAGTGATTTTGAATATCTTTTGCTAAATACCAAAGCCTGATATGACCCAGAAATTATTTTGACTTAACATTTATATCATTATGGACAATGAATATTATTTGGCAGATGCAACAGTAATTACTCAAATTTAAATTGTGCATAACAAACATTTCAAAATGAGAATATAATTGATATTCAACAAAAAAATAATTTACTCAAAATTTGATTGATTTCTGATTGTCAAACAAAAGGATTCACTCAAACTTTTTATTGTTAGTGCCATTTTTAATTACATCAATTTTTTTTCAATTTTTTTTTGTGAAATTATCATGTAGGATTTTATTGCATTTACAAAAAAAATGTTTTTCAGATGCTTGAATATCTAGTTAATATTTATATATACATGATTTTATAAAGGACTGGGGTAAATACAAAGTTCTGCATATTTATTTTTACTATATATAATAAAGAACTTAATAAATCAAGGACTTGTATTATATTAATTTATTAATGTATATTGCTGTGTGAAAAATGGATATGTATATAATTATAATGATTTAAACAGTTTTAAGACATCTTTTTTAAATGCATTATATTTTTTAAACATATAAATTTATTCAAATATGAAATAATGTCTAGAAACTTACATTAATCATATATCTCAGTGAAAAAAATAGGTGGGTTAAATTTAACTACATGTTCTACAATTATATTGCAAAACCCAACTTTTCATGTACAGTTCTTAGGACATTTGAATTGGAATATTAATATATCAAATTAATTTGTCTAATATATGGCATATTAATGTCATTTAAACAAATGCACAGTCTGTATGTTATAAGTATATAAACTGAAGATTTCTAATATAATTATCAAAACTTCAAGACCAAGTTAATAACTTTATTTTACTTTTTTCTTATTATTTAATTACCATTATATCTAATATGTAAAATTTGCAAATGGGTGACAAATTTCATTCCTCTGTGATCTTTATCTTTAACAAATTGTTAACACTGATCATATTGAAAATTCTGTATAATTATTTAATAAGTGTAGGAGTAACAATGTGTAATTGCTGAAAGATAATATCTTGATATTGTCTAATTTACATTCTCAACAAATTTATTAATTGTGCATTGTGCATTATCTAAAAATATTATACAAATAGTCTTAAGCCCATTCTCTTTGATGTTGTACAATAAGGGAGTTAATGCACTGATCTTATCTGTAGGAATTCTTTGATATTTGCTGGCCCCTTTTCTCCTATACTCTGTCCCCTGTTGACATACATAGATAGGAGTCCCTGCATTTATGCACAGGGGTCATCCTTTCAAAGGGTAAAAATTAACAGTTAGGTCTGAAATCTTGCCTTACTAACATATCTTAATGTTTATCCATGGAGAATTAAAGAAAATGACTATCAGTCCCTTTTGTTATGTCTTTATTGCATTAACTGTTAATCCTTTTTTGTAATCTTAAACCAATCGTCTAATTCTTTAAAACTGGATTTTAATTCCTGAACCTTACCTCAAGTCATCAATAGAATTTATTTATTAAATAGTATTTAAAAGATCTTGCTTGTTTTACAGGACTTGTGACAGTTTTACTGTTTATTTACAAAAGTGTTTGACATGATGTGTGAATAAACCCTGTCAAATCTGTATGTAGTTTCAATGCATTAAAGGCCCATTGCACAATCAGTAAATAATCTTGCATAAAGTACTGAATGATCACCAGGAATTGTAAATGGTATTTATATCCTGCTGTCAGCTTAACTTTGAAGATGTTAAACAATAGTAGGATGCAGATTTCAATTTTTGACCTTAAGTGATTTAAGATTGAAGAATTGAAAGCAAATTTTTTTATGATATTTTAGAAAAATAAAGGGTCCATTTACTGGCATGTGTCAAGCCTTTTGGTATAATATCAACAGCATTATTTAACAATAAATAAAAATCATTGAATAATTACTTGAAAACTAAAGTTGCACACTTCTTGCCAAAATTCAATTTAGAAAATTTTGATTGTAGTTTGCTTGCATTGAAAGATTTTATAATGGTATGCATGCATGCATATGTTAATTAATAGTATCGATAATAAAGTGAAAAAATAAATTGACCATTATTCATTTGATGATGAATTTTAATTGTGATCAATTATTTCTTTTAAAAAAAGCATAATTATTTATACTGTATGACATGAAATATGATTATATATTATTATAAGCATATTTATATATAACAACAAGTACAGCATAATGTTTTTTTTTACATTGTGAAATATTTAAGGCTTGCAACAGTACCACAGTATGTAAATTATATAGGCATTTTACTTCCTGGTGTGTGCTCGCAAGAAATGATACAGTTATTCCCCTTACCCACGATGTGCACGCTTTTAAGAGAATGAATTTCTCTGTGCATATCGAGTTAATAAAAATAGATTATATCAGATGAAGATATTGACTCATCACTGTTGAATAATTGGGTTAATGTTTTCAAAATCTATGAAAGTGAGTGAATTTGATATTAGTAATGGTAATAGTTGTGCAATGTATTCAGTTTAATTTTTATTAAGATTAAAAAAATCACATATTATTTGTTTTGCGTCATTTTTGTGGCATTAATATGTCATATATGTCAAAATGCTTTATACATATAATACATATATAATGCTGTCAGGATGTTTTTTATCATGTTTTCAAGGATGTTTTTCACATTGAATGCATCTGCATTTTATAGATGCAAAGTATCAAAATTGACAATCCCTGTTTGCCCATCACCTAAACCAAACTGACCAGATGGGAGAATAAAATGTGTTTTTCACTAGAATTTAAAAGAAATACAGTAAATTTAACATATTTATGTTGTTTTTATTGACATAAAAGTAGCCCTAAATAATATTTCAATTTCAATGAAATGTGAGAGAACATTTTTTTTCAGTCTTCCTGGATGTAGTCTAAATATTATTATATATCTTATTTTATCAATTATCTAGACAACAGGAAAACAAAATGAATGAAATGTAATTAAAAGCATTTTAATACTTCATAATTAAATTTGGCTGAAAAAAAGAAAACTTCTCAAAAGTTTTGAAATTTAAAAAATAATTATTTCCCAAATTAATTACTATTTTTTCAAGTTTTGCAACACAATTCCAAACAAACAAAAAAAAATCCAATCAACTTTCATTATCAGTTCTGTAACTGTTAATTCTTATCAGTAAAGAAAATCTATCAGAAGTTATTACTTGGCCAGGAGCTATTTACAATTTGCAGGTCCTTTTTTTATCAAATAATATTTTTAAAAAAAAAAAAGGTAAAAAAAACTTGCACCACATATTGACCTAAGGCATTTTACAGCAGTTCAAATATTTTTATTTCTTTAATAGGTGTTGATAATGTATAATAAAACCACAAAGATCTAACAGTAAAATTGATTTCTTTATTTTATCTTTTGTACTATTGTGTAGTTTTTAAGGCAATGTATACCCATCAATAAATTAACTCTGCATGAAGCAATTAGTTTGCAATGAATTCTATCGAACCGTTCAAGGTGCCCGTTTCTTTATTGATTATCAACAAAAATAAAATTGTAGAAAGTAAATAAAGATAAAAGGGAGCAAAGTTATACATTCATAATTAAAATAAATTTGGTATTGTTGTCCATTGGGGCAATTTACACACTTTTTTACTTTGAAGTTAGCTAGTGTCTCAAATGGTGTTTTATTTTGCAAATTGATTTATTAGAAAAGTATGTGATGGTAGTGGATGGTCCTTTTATTGTTATTTATTATCTCGGCACATTTTCAAAATTTGAATGACATTGATAGCAATTAGCACAAAGGTAAAAATACATCAAAAGCTAATGACCTTGAAATTTTATGCCAAGTAAAAATATCAAAATTTTGATCTTTTTTTTTTTTTGATAATCTTTTTTTTTTTATGAAAATCTAATGCAACTAAATCGAAGTTATATTTGGAGTTTAAGTATCAAAATTTTGATAACATTCTGATAATCTTTTTTTTTTTTTGCTTTTTAAAGTCACAGCAACATTGTTATGGTCATCAGGTATTATGTCCAGCTTGACTGATTGAGGCAGAACTCATTTGGCTAATCCATGCATTATTTCAGGCACAAGTAGGCACCTGAGTAGAAGCACCGACTTTCCAACTTTCCGTAAGCTAGCTGGATAGCTTCCTCATATGAAAGAATTCAAAGTGTTGGTCCCTGGTGGACTCAAACTGACAATGATGAGGGGCAAGTGGTCTGAGTCAGGTCAAAGAGCATAGATGAATTACATGACCTAACTTCCAATTGGTGGCATAAATTGCGCAAGTATTTAATTGTCTCCACCTATATTTAAACAGCTAATTTTATTTATAATGAATCAATAAAAGGAACATTGTTTTATTTTACTGTTCATTATTTCATATAAAATGTCATCAAAAATTAAATTATGTAGCATTTCAGTTTGTCAGTATCGTTTGGAATTTTGTTAAATCTTTTAATTTTGAAAATCATTTTGTTATGCATTGCATTACTTTCATTTTCAGGTTATGAAGTGTATTGTTCCTGCATTCCTCAAGATTCAAGATGTAACAGAAATTCCAGATAGCTTAGAGACTACATTCTCAGGTACTTTACTAAGAGTTATAAGAGGATTTTCCAGCTTTATTGATTGAGAAATACGAAAGTGGTGGTGTTTGTAGTTTTAACTCCTGATCAGGGCAGTAAGCCACATTGAATTTACCAGAGCACAGTTCAGCCATCGCATTGTTCCCAAAGCAATTTGCTTTCACTTTCACAAGGAACTAATTATATCTGTACATGCCAGAGCAGAGGTACAGTGCAAATGGGCATGTAATGAATTTCATAATCAATCACAGAGTGCAGTGACCTGCACTCTCTGGGAATCAAAGTCGGATTGCCCGATTCACAGTCCAGCACTCTACCTACTGAACTAATGGGACAGCTGGAAATAAATGAGGTTCTGCTCTGTGCATCACATCAGAACAGCCGTCCGGTTAGCTCAATAGGTAGAGCGTTGGAATGTGAATCGGGCGACCCGGGTTCGATTCCCGGACGGCGCAGGTCACTTTGGTTGTGATTGATCATGAAATCCTTTCTCACTGTCATTCGCACGGTACCTGAGTCTGCTCTCGCATGTACAGAAGTTTCAGTTCCTTGTGAAAGTGAAGGCAACTCGTACTGGTTAACTGATTGACAGCCTGCCCAGGAACGATGCGGTGGTTGAACTGTGCTCTGGTGAATTAAATGTGGCTTCCTATCCTGATCCGGAATGAAAACTATCAACACCACCACCACCGCATCACATCAGATGCATAATGTTGTTTCAGGGCAGAACCTAGCCTAATTAATTTGGTGTGAACAGTGTGATCTGATTAGCAGACTGTTCTTCTGTCAAACCCCCTAGTATGTCTCTTTGACAAGTGTATTTAGTTGGACTAGGTAGATCCATTTGTGTATACCTGTATGATAGCTTAGTTATAAATAGCTGGTGAAAAAATTAATGCCTAATAATGTAGCTGGATTCAAATAATATTTCCGTAAGCATTTACTTCATGCAATTATATCAGAAAACTTTGATCTACTGTAACAATAAACTTGTCTGCTCAGATATCGCAGATGACATTGAACTTTTTTCTTTAAAACCACAAAAATTCAGTTTCTCTTTTCACACATACACATTTATGTATAGCAAAGTTCAAAGCGCTTAACTCTATTTTTTTTCTTTTTTCTTTTTTACAGAAGTCTTGTGAAAAGAAGATTAAATCTGTAAGTTGGATCACTGGGAATGAGATGAACAAGTAGTACGGGTAATTATTTGACATTTATCAAAGCTATTTATAAGATATACTAGGAAAGTCCGATAAAAGCTATTTACATACTTCTACATCTATAAATAGCGCAGAGTTGGCTGGTTGTCAGGTGCTCAATACATACTATATATATATCATAATATATAGGTAAATGTTGATTTACGGAGGGATTAGCGTAACAGTAAATAGCGGGGCAGGTTGACTATGTGACAGGAGTCATTGAACGTTAAAAAAAGGAGATCAATTTAATCAATAACCCCCGGTAATGGGCTGTTCAGGAGTCAACCTATTTAATCCCCATGAAAGCTCATTTGACTTAAGAAAATAAAGAAAGATAGGAATCAAAAACCATTTCAAGCTTTTCGATAAAGTAAATTACCCGTGTATAAATAAATCAGTGGTCATTTTTGGATTTAGTGATAGACTGGGATGGGATAAGGCTTTACAGTATTTTTGTAATGTAAGGTGGGACTTTGACATAGATACCCATTTACTGTCTGAATGTCATTGTAAAGGTCAATGAAATTCCACCCCCTCTCAAATTTGAAGAGCATAAAAAAACAAAGGTTATTGTTTCCTCCAAAACTGAAGAGTCTCTTATGAGAAATGCTGTCTCATATTATAAGCCCATGTTGGTTTGAATGAATTTAGCATTAAAACTGTAGATATAACTGATGGTTTTGAATAATAGAAAGAGCATCAAAACATGAGGCTATCTGATTTGTACGAGGGGGCGTCATGTTTTGATGTTCTTTCTCTTTTATGTCACAGTTCAGAACTGTGCACTATTTAGGGGAGAAGATGTGTAATCGGCCCCATAGCTTAGTTAGGTAGGTCCGCAGAATGGTTTTCCGAGGGTCCTGGGTTCGAGTCCCGGTCAGCCTGCACATTTTTCTCACCCTGTGACATTTGGCACCCAACGCAGGACCGTGATTAAATATAGCTCAGAGTTTAATTTAATTTGATCTGTAACTTTGTGAAATTCGAGGACAAATTTCAATATAGCAGGGGAGTATGTCACAGTTCAGAAATGTTGACTTTATATGGGAGAAGATGTGTAAGCAGCTGAATATCTCAGTTGGTAGACCTGCGGAACGGTTTTCCGAGGGTCCTGGGTTCGAATCTCGGTCAGTCTGCATATTTTTCTCACCGTGTGACATAGGCAAAAATAAAAATAGTTTTCTTGTTGTCACAATATGAAACTCCAGACAAAAATAACCGATAAACGAGTATGTGGATATGATATTTCTATCGCTATCCCTTTCTCTGCCATCACAATAGGTAAACCCCAGAAAAATGGGTAATTGCTCTGGAGTGCGGCTAACTTCAAATACAGGTGCACTCCAGATAACACACTGTGCATGTATAATGATTTAACTCTGAGACATTTTCAACAGAAAGGTCCTCAAACTTATATAGTGAAAAGTGAGATAAAATTCTCTTTAAGAATAATAACGTCAATATAAAAAGTCAATCATGAAAAGTGACACAAAATGAGGCCATTTAAATTTGGTATTCCTTTCACTTTATTAGCATTATACCTAGAAAGATGGCAATAAAAATCCTGTAGATATATCACAACAACAATGTTGACAATGCTGATATACAAATTAAATCTGTTTGAAAAAATCTTCTTTATTTTAGCAAAATGGAACAGTGCAATTTATCAAATTCAATACCATTGCCAAGAATCTGAAACCAGTCATCTTTTTTCCTGTCTTTGTATAGGAGTAAAATTGTTCATTTATTGAATAGTGCAAAAGCCCCATTGAATTTATGAAGTCATTTAAATTGTTTCACAAACTTGATGACTTTGCAAAAGATATTAAAAAATGGGGATTCTATAGAAAGATAACAAGTTACCTTTAAATCATTACAATCATTCCTTAACGAAGTGTAAAAGAGATAAAAAAAAACAACTTGAAGTTTATTGATCTAGCATGATATGACGACCGGGCATTATTTCAACTACAATTCAAACCAATACGAATAAGTCATGGCGCGATGCTAATTGATAATAAATACACAAGTGTTAGAAATTGGATACAATAAATTGATTGGCTTTTGACTCCGATCATTAATCTTTCAAATCGCACTTAGTTGTAACAACATTCTAACTCAACCATTTAGTACATAGAGTTACAACAGTTTTGTAATTAATTAAAGAATTGTAGCCAAAGTTTTGTGAAGCATATATTATAGATAATTTTGTATTGAGTTACCATACTGGTAAATACCATAGATTATAAAAATTAATTTGAGCTGCGTCATGACAAAACCAACATAATGGGTTTGCGACCAGCATGGATCCAGACCAGCCTGCGCATCCGCGCAGTCTGATCAGGATCCATGCTGTTCGCTTGCAAACCCTATAACAATTAGAGACACTGATAGCGAACAGTATGGATCCTGATCAGACTGCGCGGATGCGCAGGCTGGTCTGGATCCATGCTGGTCGCAAACCCATTATGTTGGTTTTGTTATGACGCGGCTCATTTGTCCCTGTCAAACAAATACAGAGGAAGAATATCTGTATAGATTTTATCTACGAGTATAATGTTCTGATCACAAAGTTTTTTGTTGTTAATGAGGCCCATTTAAATGTAAGGTGAAATATGAAAATTTGACCTTTAGGTGTACAAGATGCTCATTTTCATAGCAATATTAATTATATAAAACTTAAAACATTTTCTGAATGCTTGTACATTGACTTGCATGTGGTAAGTGACAAAAATGTACTAAAAACAGACTAGACTGATACAGTAAAAACTGTAGAATGAAGCAAGAATGGCTTTGATTTATTAGGGTATTAGCCAACATTCGTCAATATTTACTTATTAATTTGGGTGTGTAATCCTTAAAACAAGTATGATATACCTATGTCATCATTTGATATTGACATAATTATTTATGACATCACTGTCTAATTAAGAGACCGGCCAGCCTGTACATCATTATGTAATATCAAAATCTCTCTCCCCTTGTGGAGGAGGGGTTGCTTTTACGAGTTGAGGTATCAAAATTGCAACTACTGTTTAACAAGGTGTGATCTTAATAGGGGACTAAATGGGTTCGAATTGTTAAAGTCTATGCATCTCTGAGCTCCAGCAGTTGAGGGTGGTTTTGGCACCTGATGTTAGTTTGACCAAAACAGTGTTGAACTAAACCTAACCAAATCAAAAACCATCATATTGCTAATTGACAGTTCAAAATTAAAAACACAAGCCCATTTTATAAATTTAGCAGGACTGGTTTATTGGTTATAATATAGAAAAGAAATCAAATTATCCTTGTTGATAACCATAACATTATCATGGCCTTTACCTTAAAAGAATACTCGGCTTAACTTGTTATTGTGCACAAGATAAGTCATTTCTATTTGAATGTTAAAGGAACTCCACTGAGGTCCAAAAAGCTTAAAAACATAAAAATTGAATTGCTTTACATAGATCAAATAGGGCACTTAAAACATATAGATATGCCAAAAATTCAAGAAATAAACTCAGAAATAAACTGAAGTCATATTTTTATGCTCTTCTTAGCCCCATTTGAGTTAAAATTGTTGCAACGTTATTCAGCTTTGAGTTATTTTGCACAGTTACAATAATTATTCTGGAAAAAAAAGAATGAAGGAACAATCTGAAATTTTGCACACAAGTTATTTGTTTAGACCTACATCAAGTGGAATATTAATCTCGAAAAAATATTTTCAGTCCCATCATGTCAAAAACCTCAGTGGAGTCCCTTTAATATTTAAATTGTGAGTTGCGTGTTTGATACCCAAAAAATATGATAACAGGTTAGTCTGCATATCTATACAGGAAGACCAGACTCTATACTATTGATAGTGCTCAAGATGAACTTAGTTTCTTTCTTTTTTGGCGGAGGTGGGAGGGGATGGGGACGGAGTGGTAGGGGGTCGTCATTAATATTTTATTTTGTCAATGAATTTCTTTTTGTATCCAAAGGGAAAAAAAACATTATTGGCAGGTGAAATAGTTTTTTCATTTTCATTCTAAAATATAAAAATTTTTATTATGGAAATATAAACTCAAGTTTCAAGTTATTTAACATGAGAGGATCAAATCAGTTCAAAAACGGATTGATGATTGAATAGTGTAAACTTCTTCTAAATTTGTTGTATTTAACTTATCTTTTTGAGTCGTGGCATGCGGTCCTACATGAAAGTATTCAACGATTAAATGTAAATGCAAATTATGCAAAAAAAAATCGGTGCTTTTATTGACATTTGATAACCTCTTCTAAGTGATCCAGTGATTTTCAATTCCGTTACTTGGGTCGCTTGCGGTTTTTCGAACAATCAATCAAAGTTTTAGTAATATTATACTTATTCATTAAACTTTTATAAAACCTTAGAAACCTGCAGAGTAAACTGACAGGGGGAAAATGCCGTTATTTATTCAAAATTTTTGAATGTAACGCTATGCATGAGAAGTTAAAGTGGGGACTAAATGTCAACAACCATTGATTTCAATTTTGAAATTTAATAACACCATTATGGATAAGAAATATATACTTTGTTTGGTGTTGCCCAGCGTTTCTATAGTGACCGTGTAAACAGCTTAAGAATTTTTGTAATAAAATGTTTGAATACTGAGTTTTCAAGTACATGTTTAAATATTGATGTGTACAGTTCGCATTGCGATGTTTAGCCGAACATAGATTCTGTCGGAAATTAGTTTTCATAGCAATGTTTACAATATTTTGAAAAACATGGCCAGATAGCGCAAAGATTTCAGGTTGAATTTAATATTGTTAAAGCAGCATGCATCCAGATTCATGCATATTTTCATACATATTTTGAAAATGAATTTAAAAGTAAAATATTGTGAAGCTGAACAAGGAAGGTAAATTACAACTGGCAAACAGCACTTACAAGCCACGTAAATTACCAAAAAGGCCTCAAAATATGCACAAATAACCGTAACTGCATTAGTCATGCAGAAGAAATATTGTAATCAATTGTAACTGCAAAATCAGTCATAAATCTCCCATAACATGACTGTTAATTATTACTTGAATTTTTGCTAATCTAGAGGAGTGCAGCTTTAATGTTTGAAATAATTGGTAAATCGTATAATAACGGTATTTCTGTACCTATAAAGTAAAAGATTTTGATATAAATCGAGATCTTTACATGAAATAGTGAAAATGCAATTTTTATTTGCAATCATTTTCAAAGAAAGTGAGCCAAAGAAAAAGAAAATAGGAATGCAGAATCAATAATTGTTTGACTTATTATGTTGTACATGTATATGTAAAAATAATGCACTAATATATATAATGTTTTATTATAATAAAGAGTTGAACCAAAAGAATAAGATATTTATCCTATTCTGTTTATAAGTGGCCATTTTCAACTATTTATTTACTTTAACCTAATTGCATACATGTACGTATTTAACATTTCCATATAAATGTAACCAGTAGAAAAAGGGAATCAATCTAGAAGACATGTACTTTGTATGTTACTGTAAAGTAATACACTTAAAGTAATGCTTCTTTTAATCAAAGTCAGTGTGGCATGTACAAAAATCTAATCTGCAAAGTATACATAGTTACCATAGCAACCTAGCAACACAAAAGGTTGCCGTTACATACCATATTTTTGTCAAAAATTTTGCAAAGTAACGGTATATCTTTCTTTAATGCCATGCTTCATATATTTTCAATGTAAATTATATTACGACGTTATCTATATTGATCTATTCAACAATATTCCCCCTGTTTATCTATTCTAAAGTCATGGTAATAATACGGGGCTTAATTCGATCCTTCAACAAAAAAAACACGACAAAATTATCAATATTTGCATATATATAATATTTATCAATATCAATCACCTAATGAAAAGTTTGACAATAATCATTGTAACTCCCTCTCTTTCCCTTTTCTTAAAATTACATGTGCCAGATCAATGTCTAATATTTGATGGCTTTTACACTAGATAATCCCAAGTGAGAAAAAATAGTATGGTCTTTCAAGGAAGGTGATTACTCCACGAAGGGTAATTTGTAAAAGTAAATTCAGTATAATCATCATAATGTTTTTCTTCATTATTAAATGAATTGTTTAAATTGATTTTCCCTTTTTGTCATTATACTTTTTTGGGCAAAAATCAAACAGGTGACTTCTTATTTACATTAACTTATCCCATTTCAACTTGACCCTGATTTATATATTACCCTTAGTACTGCATAACCTTACATCAAGTATTTATACAGCTACATTATCAGTACTATCAAGTGATCAAGAGTTTGTTTATACAAGACTCCAAAAGTGAAAGGCCATGGAATTCAATATAACAATGAAATCTGATTAAATGATGAAATCTTGCCATTCCTGTGATGAAGCTATGAATGGAAATGTATTAATTTCCAGTAGTAACAATAAAGTGCATGAAAGAAATCATTAGTAAGGTGCTTTGTTGTTTGATTTTGTCATAGAAGGAAGAAAAAACTGGCATTTTTATGGTATATTGTAGTAATGGTCATTTCGCAGATGTTTGAAATGTGACATTACATAGAAATAGAGAAATGAGTCATTCATATGTGAACTATTGTTAAAGATAAACTTACTTTTGCTTTAGATCCAAAATTTGAGTTCGCCAAATTTATTTCATAAATAAGAGGGAGATTATTGGATTGATAATCAAGGGGTGGCTGGTTCATTACTTGGTCATAGCATATTAATATCTACATGCAATAATACATTGATCATGAACAAGAGTCTAATGGGATGAGTTGTCTCCAACCACTGATTTAGAAATCATGTGAGATTATGAGTTGTTCACTTGCAGAGAAATCAGTAATCCGCTGGAAACCTGAGTTAGGTGGATTAACCTCTGAGATATGAACAAAAATGTGTTAATATCGATTCAGCATTACAAAAAACAGAAAAAACAAACAAATTTCCAATTTTGATTATACTGGCAAACACTGTACAGGCAAAAGTGTACAAAGGAAATATAAAGAAGTTTGCACCTCAAATACTATATATCTCTGGCATAAAACATCTTCTAAAAGGGTTCTTTAATTATTTCTCATCTTATGTACCGGTATATAGGGATTAAACATTTAATTAGATCATAAATGCATGCATGATCTGTAATGTAAATTATAAATGTCACAGGATGAGAAAATTTAACGACTCTGGCACCGGTAGGGGGAGAGACTTAGAGCCAGAGTAGAACCAGTCATATAAATATGTCCATCACTTCAAGTGATAAAATTTTTGGGGCCTCCGTGGCCGAGTGGTTAAGGTCGTTGACTTGAGATCACAGGTCCCTCACCGCTGTAGGTTTGATCCTCACTCGGGTCGAAATCTTTCATGTGAGGAAGCCATCCAGCTGGCTTACGGAAGGTCGGTGGTTCTACCCAGGTGCCCGCTCGTGCCTGAAATAATGCGCGAAGGGGCACTTGGGGTCTTACTCCACCAATAAAGCTGGAAAAAATCGACGAAAAAAATCTCGGCGGGACGCTCTAAGATGGCTTGACTTGAGTGTACGGTCGCCCATATGGGCTTTCTGGCGGCGACCTTAAATAAACGCATTAAAAAAAAAAAAAAAAAAAAAAGTGATAAAATCACAAGGCCACTTTATGTTGCCCTGTCTAGGATTTAATAGTACTATCATAAAAAGATAATGCCAATATGTTGAAATATAATTTATAGTTGTAATTGTTGCATTGTATAATTTTTTATGAAATCTTCACTTTACTAGATAAAAGCAAGGTTAAAGGTGCTAAACCGGAAGGTTTTTGAAGACACAACACCGGAAAGTGTTAAGACGCTGAACTGGAAGAACTAAAAGTTTAAGACGCTAAGCAAAAGGTTTAAGATGCTCAGAGCTGGAAGGTTTAAGATACTGAACCAGAAGATTTAAGACCCTGGACTGGAAGGTTTAAGACAATGAACTGGAAGGTTTTAGATGCTGAACTGGAAGGTTTAAGATGTTGATTTGGAAAGTTAAAGATGCTGAACCAGAAGGTATAAGACCCAGGACTGGAAGGTTTAAGACAATGAATTGGAAGGTTTAAGATGCTGACCTGGAAGGTTTAAGACAATGAACTGGAAGGTTTAAGATGCTGAACTGGAAGGTTTGAGACCCTGGACTGGAAGGTTGAAGACACTGAACCGGAAGGTTTAAGATGCTTAACCGAAAAGTTTAAGATGCTGTAGGTTGCATTTAGTTAAACCTAATTATTTCCATATTTTCAGGTATGTAACAGCATATGTTTGGAGGACTTTGTTGGTATTCCGGAATGCAAATTGTAAGGAGTTACAACATCTTGAACATTTCCACAATCAGTGGGGGACAATTCAGAATGGTGCCCACAACCAGTATCATACATCAAACAGATACCAATGGCCGACATTGAAAAATTGATGATTATTTTAAAAAAGAAGAACTAGTGGTAAGTGGGTAAGTTAATGCACTTAAAAAAAGCTCAAGAAAAGTTCGAATGGTCACCTGTTAAGCCTATTGGCGATACTGATAATACCCAAGCAAGCAGTGCAAGCCAAGGTCAGCTGGTATGTTTGTGGTCTGATGGCTCAAGATTAGCGCGGCTTTTTTTTCACAGGTTGGGGAAGCAGCCCTGTCCTGAATTTTAGGGGAAATTATACAGTTTATTTGAAAAAGGGGAAGATGAAACCTGCATAGTGCGTTTGAGACCAGCATGGATCCAGACCAGCCTGCGCATCCGCACAGTCTGATCAGGATCCATGCTGTTTGCTATCAGTTTCTCTACTTGTTATAGGGTCTGTAAGCGAACAGCATGGATCCTGATCAGACTGCACGGATGCGCAGGCTGGTCTGGATCCATGCTGGTCGCAAACCCATTATGTTCAGGTTTTGTCTGGAAGCTGCTCAATTATGAGATATTAAAGCTGTGTAATACATGTATAAGAATACCGGTTACAGTAACAAATTTATTAAGAGATATAACTTATGCACTTAAAGATACTTCTCTGGTACTTATACATAATTATAAGGAGCAGTAAAATGTTCAGCCCATCATAAAACAGATTGTGGGTTATACAAGGCCATGTAATATTATGACAAACTTCATATAAATTTAGTAATCAAATATCAATTATTGATCCACAATTTAATTTACATATCACAATTTCAAAGCCTGGAACCATATCAGAATAGTGTGTATGCAATGTTTATGGTTGTATTAATAGAAATTAAAGATATGACAAAACTGAAATCATCATTTGAAATATGTGCTTCCTCCCACCTGTATAATAATTAAAGAATTCATCAACTATAATGGCTCCAGCACAAAACACATTGTGTAGTAATTGTAACTATATATAGGCTGAACTGGAACCACACAAGAGACTTATTATGCTCCGCTGTGCCTATAAATGCATGCACACATAATACATTGAATTTCCGTTATTTGTTGGTTTTAAATCAAGTTTTACATTACAACATTATACATGTTTCCAGGGAGGGCAGTTAATATGTAACCAGTGTTCCTGGATTTTGTACCAGTTCTGACCGGTTTCTATGCAAGTAACTGTCAACTTCTCCACTTGAATCATTTGAAAAGAAATGGTATAAGACATTGCTGTGTTCAACTAACTAAATTGTGATTGGAAATCATCTGCCTTACACCAAAGACTCAACCTTGTGCATCAGTGATCTATAATGCTAACAGTTTTGGCTGCAGGCATTGCAAGGTAATGAGAAGCCTGAACACAATTTATTCATTCATACAGTAATACTCATTATGTCATACATTTACATTCTGTTAAGGAATATAACTCAAAAATGCCCTCATTGCACAGTCTTACAATAAAACTTGCTTCAGAAGTGATCAGGCGGTCAAATGTCAAGGTTATATATTCTCATTTTTAAATATGAGCCGCGTCACAACAAAACCAACATAATGGGTTTGCGACCAGCATGGATCCAGACCAGCCTGCGCGTCCGCGCAGTCTGATCTGGATCCATGCTGCTCGCTATCACAGTTTCTCTACTTGTAATAGGGTTTGTAAGCGAACAGCATGGGACCTGATCAGACTGCGCGGATGCGCAGGCTGGTCTGGTTCAATGCTGGTCGCAAACGCATTACGTGGGTTTTGTCGTGACGTTGCTCATATATTCTTTATAGCTTATTGACTCATTAAGTGTAGATACATGTACAGATATATCTTCAATTCAATTGTTTTTATGGAAAAAGCACATTATACATAATTTTCAGTAGCATACAAAGTCATGTAGCATACAATCATAATAAGTGGAAATGCCACTATATTATTTAAACAATAAAAGGATATTTGTCTATGAAACAATGATATACTTCAGACACCATGAAAAACAGTACACTTTTGATTCTTTACAATATAAAAGCATATACTATATAAGTTGATAAAACGCTACAAACTAGTTTAGAATGAAAAAAGAAACACAACAACATTGAAATAAAAGTGCATTAAGATAAAGTCTTACCTTCCATCTTGGAAGATTTTGTCTTTTTCTTTTTATCAGTTTAAGTTCTTTTTTATTGTTTCCTACTGATCTAGTCTTCTTTCAATAAATCAATAACTCAAATTGCTCTTTTTTTCCCCTATAACTTGCTCAGGTATGTATGTGTGTATTAGGAGGACTGTCAAAATTTTTGTTAAACCAGTTGACTATAGATTTATAATTCTCTTTACCAGTGTATTGAATAAAGCTTCTAGTCAGATGTAGTGTTTGAGCAAATCCGTGTTGAATAGGGGCTTACGCGTCCCCTCCGGAGAATTTAGGTTACGTTAATCCTTATTTGTGCTCACTCAACCTCGATGCAGGGCTATTGAATATTTATGGTTTTTGTATGTACGCTATGTAAATATAGTGAAATTCGAAATATTGATAACGTATTTTGAAGGAATGATAATAGTTTCAATGCGTTTATGTAAATACCATAAATTCTGATAAAGCTTGAAAAATTCCCACATTTTATTCCTACCATACAGTATGTGGTATTTGTTTACAGATTTGTTTATCTGTATTGAATATTATGTTTTTTGCAAAATGAGCAGTTTTCTCTTTGATTTATTACTAAATAGTAAAATTTAATACGCAAGTACATTAAACTGAAATTACATATCAATAAGCGTGCAACCCAACTTCCTTCATTAAATTTGCCATGAATGTAATACATGTATAGAATCAATCATAAGAATCATATGATTGTAAAATGATAGCTTAATTGAATATAAAAATCATATATTATGTTAGACAATAGCCTGTAAACACCATTGAATTTCAAAAAGCCACTCTGAAAAAAATGAGACAATTGCAGCAAATGGACCTTTATTTGTTTTATCCTTATGCTAACTAATTTTGTTTAATGTACTAAACAGTACTTTGTCTTGTTTGTCAAGGGCCAGTGTATCACGAAAAAATGTGTTCAGTTTTTTTTCTTGTAGATCTAGATAGATTTCAGAGTTCAAAGTTTTAGCCACCACAGACACTTCGGGTATGGCCCTCACATCACTGCATGCCTTATAAAACCAATTCTGTACAATACCAGAGCAGAGGTACAGTGTGAATGACCATAGAAAAGATTTCATTATCAATCACAACAAAAGTAACCTGCACTGTCCGGGAATCGAACCCAAATGGCCAGATTTCACAGTCCAACAGTCTAGTCCTATTGAGCTAACTGGACAACTTTCTACACAAAACTTAATTGGCCTGCCGGTTGCATTCTGTTAGTATATGACCTAATGTCAATGTTGTAAAAGTAATATGATTTTGTTATTTAAACAAATGACTGAATTTTTTTCCCTGTCACTTTATTAATAATAATCTAAGTCAATATTGAATTAAGTGACAAGTTAAAAAGTCAGGAAGTGAGATTTTATGTAAATATGAAATGTAGAATTGATTAGCCCTGGAGAGAATGACTTTTTACCTTTAGCCACTGCGTTGAGCACTATTTGACACATTGTAGACATATTTCATCGGTTGACCGCAAAACTGCAGTAACTTGAATGAAATAGAGAAGGATTTACAACAGTTTTGCAATCAATCCTTGATTTATTTATTTCTGGTTCATGATTCCTTCAGAAATCAATAAAAATCAAACAATTGTAACTGACATTTGGACGATGATTATTTAAGTAACATACAAAAATGCCATTGTCTGTTGTGATGAATCATAGCCCGGCATTTCCCTGATACAGTTTTACAATGGACAGGACCGGCTTTGAATTTGGACTGGTCAATTGTAATTTAAGGGGCTGCCATTTGATGATACTAAATTTAGCAGCCAGCAGTAATAGACCAACAAGGGTATGTGTGCAGACCAGAAGCATGGCTCTTAAATTATGGTTGCAAAGCTATTTTATTATTGGCTTTAAAGTAACCCTGCTGAATTATTTGGATGAAGCAATTTTCCTGGTTTGTTCTTACTGCCTGTTACTGCATTGCCAGCTGAGCACTCAAAACAAAATCAATTTGGGTACTTGATTTGCCCAGCTTTGAATTTAGAACAGCCAATTCTAACTTTACTACGGGATTTTGATATTAATTAACAACATACAAAAATTGATTTTAGCAAGAGACTGGTCAGATTTTTATTGCAAAGTTGAGAGTTAATATTGTAGAGTTAAATCAATTTTAAAATGTTCATAAGTAATAACATAATGTTTATAGACAATAGCTGTGATAGACCTTCAGAGCTTGACTATTCCCAGTGCCTGACAGCATTATTAAACAAGCATAATGAAGAAATTCACAAAGGGAAACATTGTGACACTGCATCCATGGGTCTTTGTTAATTTGACCTGCAAGGATGATCCAAAAAGACATATGAGATTTTAAGAGCATACTTTTTTTTTGGTAGAATATTTTTCTTGATCATTTCATAATTCTTAAATTACATCATTCTTAAACAATGTGTTGTTGTGTGCGGTTTAGTTCATAATACATAGAATATAATTACATCTAGTGTAATTAAGATGGCTTGACTAAGACAATTATTATTCTTATAATTGCAACTGATACAAACGTATTTTATCATAAACCACAAGATTGTGACCTGTATCGGACCTGGCATTTTAATCATTGAAATACTAATTCTGTAATTGTGGTTTTAAAAAATTCAGGGCCACAATATGAAAGAATTTGTTTTGCCCACAAAGCTAATTTAAATTTTTTCAAAAATGTAAATATTATCAAAAAAAGGAGGATTTCTTTACAATAAGATTGTCAACACATTACAGTAATTGCTTAAAAATTAGGTCGTTTGGGTAATTATTACCTTTCCCAGGGGTATTTAAGATTTAAGATTTAGTGTGTATTCACCATAATATAAACTGGTAAAATTATGTGACAGGTTCAAAAGACAAAAAGAAACAAAAAATTTGGTCAAAATTGAGACTTGTGTGTGGGCTACATTTTTTTAGATGAATGAGATTGATGAATAATATTTCAGTGATGTAATAACTTATTGTTATGAAATATTTTTTCAAACTGCAATTTATCCTCCAAAGAAACTTTAAAATTTTTGTTGGATTTGTCATTTTCTTTTCAAAAACTTTACAAATGTTAAGCTGAGACATATTTAAGAGATTATTTAAAATTTTAACCTCAAATAGAGCTCCAGTAGTTTACTGGCATCAAAAGTAACTGAGGTGATGGTAGACAGAAATTATCTTTATGATTCATGATACAATTTTATTATGCTTTTCAGATATTTCAAATCATCATTTAGTAACCAATCAGCAAGCTGCAACCAGTCAAACAATCAACCAACCAACACAAACTAGCTTATAATAGACAAACAACAACAGATAACCACCCACAACCAACCAACCAAAGCCAATTACCAACCAGCCAAAGACAACTTATTAAATAAACCACAATCATGCAACCAACGTTTGCACCACCAGCAAACCACCAATCAATCAGCCAGCTAATCAACCAACCTACCAACCAACCAACAAATTAAAACCAACCAGTCAACAAACCAATCAAATAGCAGCCTTGTTCAATTAACTTTTACTGCAAATGTCATCTTTACAAAATGACTTGCTAAAACACCTGTTAGCTCAAAAGGAAGAGTGTTGGACTGTGAATCAGGTCACCAGGGTTCCATTCCTGGACGGTGCAGGTCACTCTTGTTGTGATCGATCATGAAAACCTGCTATGGTCATTCACACTGTACCCCTGCTCTGGTATGTACAAAGGTTTTAGTTCCTTGCAAAAGTGTAGGCTACTAGTACTGGTAAACTGTTGGACAGCCTGCCTAGGAATAATGCAGTGACTAAACTGTGCTCTGGTAAATTCAATGTGGCTTGCTGCCGTGATTCGGAGTGAAAACTACCAACACAACCACGAAATTCTGATGAAAGACGTGCATCAATGTTGGGATCTTGATGTTAGAAAGATGGTGGGTAAACTGCTAAACCTGTACCAATTACTCATTTAAGAACATATACTTTCATCTTGAAATCTCAGACAAGATGTACTAGCTACTATGTGTTATGAACTGATCATGATATAAAAGATGTGATTAAAATTAACTTTGAAATTCTATCTTTTTTCATGAATTCTAGAAAGTAATGTGAATATTTAGTGTATAAAAACTATAAGGCTTAAGTTTTTGTAAAGATATTGTTACATATTAAGTGATGCTCAGATACAATCATAGCAATAAGTGGTTTTGCAAATATTGCCTGGAGATAACATTACAAGAATGAAAACAAACTATTTCTTAAACAAAAAAGAAAACAAACTATTTCTTAAACCAAAAAAAATGTTACAATTTGTATAAATTGGGTTCGAAAACATCTTCACATAAATGTTGCTTTAACATAAAATGGAGACTAACATCCCATATGTAAATATTATTTTAATCCGTCAATAAGTCACAAAATCAACAAAATTAACTGCTCAGACCATGGGAACAATACCCTACTGATAGCCCCATTTTTCACCAAAGATCAATATTGACATATTTTATATTTGAAGATAACACTTACAAGTGATAGACCACATTCAAATCTTAAAGAGTAACTCGGCCGAGCTAAAGTCTTTGTTTAAACAGTAGATCTCAACTGATAACAACTTTTAGGAAAAATTCAAATTTGGTAAGAAATTCCCAAAACAAACAGAGGGTTTGTTTGCATACTGTACTCTGGAGACATACCTAAGGATACACTCTATTTGTTAAAGAGATATTGTATGCCCTTGGGTGAAGGCTTAATTACAGTAAAAGTACTAGTGCTTCTGGTAATAATGCTTATAATGTTGTTGAAAATTTTTGAGTTAATAGAATATCTTAAAAGTTTTAAAAAAAATAACTTTAAAACTGGTCAAGCATTTAATATCGGTTAATCACCTCTATCTATGACCAGGAGAGCTGATCAAATGTCAAAGCCTCATTTACAGATGACCTATTATTTAGACTAAGTGCTGATTTACAATTTATTCCAAAATTAGTTTTTTTTAATTTGTTTTTTTTTTCTGCTAGTACAGAAATATTTTGGATGTGCACTTAATTAATTTATTATTTTCTCTCTCAGAAATTTGAAAGCTTAAACATAGCTAAGTTTCCTTAAACTATGTAGTAGGAGAAAACTTTAAAGGGACTCCACTGACGTTTCTTGACATAAGGGGACTGGAAATAATTTTCTTAGATTAGAGTACCGCTAGATGCAGGTCTGCCTAACCAATAACGTGTGAACAAATTTTCAGAGCATTGAGATTATAAAACTCTGTCTCAACTCTCAGGATTTTCATTGGTCAGTGAGCATTATATGGAAGTTTCAGACCAATCAGATTCCTGAGATCTGAGATTGAGCCATGAGAAATTTTTATAAATTCTGGTTTTCCAGAAGAGTCTTTTTATTGAATATGCAAAATGGCCCAAAAATGATTAGAGTTGCAACGCTGTCCAAAGAATCGCATAAAACATTGACTTTTCCATTTCTACTGCTTCACTAATGTCTTGATCTACGAAGGAATTTGAATTCTATGTTTTTGGGCTTTTTGACCTCAGTGGAGATCCTTTAAGAGCCCTTCTTTACAAGTGAATAGCACTATCAACAGTGAAATAACAGATTTACTTATGCCCAAATTGATACATAGTGGTGTATCTCAGGGACTTTCCCTACTATCTAACATAACTAAAATGACCTTGAATTTTGAGCAAATGTTTGACATTATGCCAAATTAAATAAAAAAATTTCTTTCAAGATTTTAAAGTTATTTTCACACCAGTATTAAGTATATACATATCAAACATAATATTTCAGATTAATGAGTGAAGTACAATCGATGGATGGCAGAAGTCAGTGGCCATGAACAGAAATTCTTTTGAACATTAAATTTAGACTGTGACTGCACAAAAAACGCATAAGTTTGGTATAATAACCAATCAACTTTCACAAATAAAAAAAACAAAAACAAACAACAACATAAAATGTGAATAGATTGACAAATTTCTCCTATTTCCCATGGTGAACTATGCTCTATGTTTTTCCCAAGATCAAGAAGATTTTTGCACTTACTATGAATTTAGGCAGTAATATGAACTTTTACTATTAACTCAGTATCCTTCAAAATCAATTTAAAGATTACAAAAAAAAAAAATTAAAAATTAAAAAAGAGAAGAAAATTCCTTACCAGTTTATATTTTTTCAGGAATAGGTTACACCGCGATGCCTTGAAGATTCATCATGTAACAGAAAGTATGATAAAAGTCATGCAAAACATTTCACTATGTTTTAAGCCACATTGTAAATTTCAGGTATTGCTGGGCACCTGGGATATAACCCGGCCATGATCTTGCATTGACAGCAAGGTTGCTTGAGATAATTAACTTCCTCATATAGCAAGAAAGCATGAAAAACCACTGCATTATTAACATTTCCAATTTCAATTTAAATTAGTTAAAAAGCATTTAAAAGATTGACATGTTTACAGATAAGCAATTAAAAAACAAGCAAAATTGACTCACCATGACTGTCGAATGTTTCAAATGTTGAAATGTATGCAATGAGTGAAGTTTACTAGGAATATAATAAACAGCTCTAGGATTATTGATAGACGGCATTGAACAACTTGTTCAAAATCGTTTAAATATTAATACCGTTTTGAATCCCTCAATAATTCTTTTACAAGTCGGTATTATGAATAAAGAATGATAAATACTTCAGTCGAGCAAATTTATAGTAAAGCGTACTGTATTAAAATTTGATTTATTCACGGCTATAGTTCATTGCAATATATCATGCAGAAATAATGATTTTTTTTTATATATATGAATGGTCTATGATAGAATTAATTGCTGTGAAGATTAGGGTCATGTATTTAATGCTTTTGTGGAAGTCTGTTAAGAGGTTTTTGGCAATGATTTGGTGCTAAGGTCAAGTTTAATGGGTTTTATACTTATACACCCATATTACAAATTTCAATCAAATCTATTGGTGTGTATTGAACAGCTGGTCTGTTTTTCTATTATAACTTTAAAAATTAATGGTATTCATTATAAGAAGTCTTTTTTTCCCCAAATCAAGTAGTTTTTCTATTTTCTCAGGGATTGTGATGGGACACTGAAGAAATTCATTAAAGAAGTGTGCATTAAACTTTGAGAGAAAAATAGAATGATCGGCGCTAAAAATTCATTTTTGAAAGGTCAGACTGCAGAATTTTATAGTTGCTCTGATGGGATATTTAAAGAATAATGGCTATATATCCTATAAGACGGACTATCCTCCTCATTAAACAAGGGCTATAATTCATGTGAAATTTCACTTGAGTCTTAGGGATCATCTGTGATCATCGTGGGGCAAGAACCATGACTCTTGCATAGTCTTTTAATTAATTGTTCCTGTGCATCCATGGCCAAGCAGTTAAGGTAGTTGACCTCAAGCCACTTGCTCCTCACTGCTGTACATGTAGGTACGAATCTGGCTAGGGACTTTGGATTCTTTTATGTAAGGAAGCTATCCAGCTAGCTTATGCCGGGACAGGGATGGTTCTACACTGTTACAGGTGCCCACTTTTGCCAGAAACAATGCACAGAGGGGCGCTTGAGGTGTCATAAAAAATTTACATAGACCAATAACTCTAGCATGAATTACCTATGAATTATACCCCTTTTTAACTTGGAAAAATCACAAATTTGAAGCAAGAAAAAGAATTACACAAATACTGTAAGCATGCATGGGTAAGGCTATCGTTCTAATAATATTCTACAGACAATAGAATTTATCAATATAAAGATATTCAGTAATATATAGTTGAAAAAAAATGACCACATTATTCGCACTGATTATGCAATGCACAAATATATTGCATATCTAATGTGTATAACGATCAGCTTTAATTGTGTACACTATTGAATAAGAGATCATATTTTGTTAATCTGACCTGCTCTTGAGAGCTTTAGAGAGATAATTCTGTTAATCTTAATCATTTTATAGACAGTGCTTTTAATAATAGCCAGATTATAGTGTGTAAACTTTTATATACATTCAACTTTCTAATCTCCCATTGTATTAGTTTAACCAGCAGACATTGTTTGTGTGTTGTTCTTTAAAAACGCTGGCAGTGATTTTAATGATTACTGTGTGCCATAAGTATAAAGCCGGGCCAGCTTTCATGCCCTTGAAGTCTAACCAGATTCCTTACATTTACTTAAATGGACTGGTTCAGTTTGAATTTTTAGATATTGATGAAAACTTGAATTTGACATTCCAACAGCATATTCAGAGCCTGGTCAGACTATGTGGATATGCAGGCTGTCCCGGCCTCAATCTATACTGGTGGCATTTTTGGTGGAGTAATTTCAGTCTCAGCAGGGTATAAAGGGTTAAAATCCATTTAATTTATAATGGACATTTTAATATTTCAAATATTGCATATCATTTACACAAATCATACACTCACTGTCTTGCAGGCTAACAACTTAACATAACAGGCCACGTTTTAGTCTGCTTAAAGGGAGACAAATCTTACATCCTGTCAGACAATACAGGATTGTCTCCCTTCATGTGCAGTTATTGGAGAATGACTGTCATATGATACTGAGATACAAATATAGAGAATAATCATTCAATATGAATAATATGTTATTATGATACATAAAAAACGATGTATGAATATAAAGTAGATGATTAACAATTGCAGATTGAGACTGTATTAATTTTGACACACCCTTCCTTGTGTATAATTTGAATAAAAAGTGGAAAATAGGCATTTATAAGGAGTTTAAATTTAAGGATAACTCATGAGGACTGAACTCATTTTTACATTAATATGTAATATAATAGTTGTACATCCATTCATGTAAATGAACATTTTTTTTTAAAAACAATTATTATTCATATAGCATGACTTCTTTAAAAACATTGATAATAATTGATATTTCAGTCAACATTATCACACAAATATCACAAGCAGAGGAAGACTAACTGAGTTCAAATAAATGTACAATAAGCTGGATTAAGCCTGGTCTACTCAACAACTGGGGTGAGGGTATATGTATGTCTCTTACTTCTGAGAAAATTACACAAGACTGATGTAAAAGAACAGAGTGAGTGAATGATCTGAAATGTTGCACAAAGGTTATTGGTCTAGATCTAAATTGAATGGAACATTAATCTTGAAGAAATAGCGCCAATAAAAAAAACGCAGCGGAGTCCCTTTAAGGGAATGAGCCTGATGATAGACTTAACATAGATCACACTATATTGCATTATGGCAATGATTTATCACTTTCAGTAAAAGCAGATAAAGGGTCAAGAAAAAGAACAGAAATCCACGCAATATTGTTGAATGATTTTTTGTAATTTTTATTTGGCTCCCTCATTGTTTTTTTCAGGTGTTGATGTAAGTGGCCATGAGGACTGTTGAACCACATGCACTATCTTTTAGTACCAAGAGTGACCATAAGGACTGTTTTAACTACAACCTAAAAATTAGTACCAATGGAAAAGATACACTAATACCATTGGAAGGATGTGCTTCAAAGTGCTTCTAAACTGAAGGGTAAGGAAATTGTTGGAAGGAAATATAGAAGAATCATGTCACTTACCTGCAAGCTGGGTTGAACGACCTTGACCTGTATCTTTGTAGTGGGAGAGACTTTGGTAATGGTGGGCGGAACATCGGTGTTGGAGAGTTTATAGGTACTGGTGGCATGGGCGGCGAGAGATCATTCTGCTGGGATGGCATCTTCAGTCAATGATTGTCTGACACTTAATTTTCCCTTGTAAATTGTTACC